ACAAACATATTAGATACATATATACATATATATGTATATTTATGTATATATGTATTATATATATATATATATATATATATATATATATATATATATATATATATACATATTATATGTACATATATCATATTTGCATATATATGCATATAAATTCATTACTTAGAAAATATTTTTTTTTAATTGTAATAACTATCTTTTTATTGATTCATTTGGTGTTGTTTTATAATATGGACGAGTAATTTCATTCATGATACTGTATGAAGAAATTTCTACATCGTATCTTTAGGGAAAATGGAAGAAAATGTGTCGGATGTTATTTATTTAGACATTTCTTATTAAATTGTTGATATTAGTTTACGTTTTGGTCAAACATTTGCGATGGCGATGTGTGTTCCTATAGAGGTCTCGCTTCCTTCGTTACGTCCGAGACTGGTGGTCGTGAGAGCAGGAGTGACAGGACTAGAAAACCATTCCTTTGCAGTAAACGCCATCGGCTGTGTTGGTCCTGATCCAGTCGAGGTAGCTGTTGACGCGGGTGTACACGCCGGGGTAGCCTCGGGCTCCGCACCCATAGCCCCAGCTCACCACGCCGATCTGAGTTGGAAGGTAATAGCAAGTAAAGGCGTAAGAGGTATGCTCAGATATCGTTTATGAGGATGAACATAATACCATCTAATTCTACCTTTATTCATAAAAGAATGTATATACGTCATGAACGACCCACAAAGCTATTCATACGCGATCCTTCGCCCACTCACCTGGTCGTAGTTTCCGCCTCCGTCCTTGAACACCAGAGGGCCGCCGGAGTCTCCCTGGCACGAGTCCTTGCCTGTGCTTCCGGCGCACAACATGGTGTCCTTAATGGCGCTTCCGTAACTGTTGGACTGACATGCGGTGTTGGACAGCACCTGCAGTCAGATGACAAGGTTTGCAAAGCGATTAATGGTGTAAGTGTAAAGGTCATAGGTGTAACGAGAAGAAAACTATAGTACGTTATAGTATGTATTCACGTCAACTGCTCATCTAGTCCCATGGTTTCAAAGAAGCACCCGTGTTCGTGTACTGACCGTGACGTCCACTTCCCTGAGTGTGTCTGAAGACGAGCCTCCGGAGCTGGTGGTTCCCCAACCTGTGGCAGTGGCCGTCTTGCCGGCGTATGTGGGGTTGGGTGGCGGCATGCACACTGGCAACACTGTGTCGCTCACCTGAAAATCAGACACATCTCAATTTGGTATCACTGATTCTTCTTTCTTAATAGCCAGCAAACCTGTTGGATGAAATTTATTTTCAGTGAGTGCGGTAGATGTGTACACCGTGTTCACGGCTTGAATCGCTACTGGAATCTGACTCACCTGGACTGGCGACGACAGTTTGATGAGAGCGATGTCGTTAATCTCGTTACCCGGCTGATAGTCCGGATGCTCGATGATCTGAGACACGGACCTGCTCACAACACTGGTCTCTGAGGAAGTGCTCAGCCTGTGTTCGGCCAGACGGATGGTCAGGTCAGACGCTCTCATGCTCTGCAAACAAAGCCATTATCACCACCGCCACAATTACTGTTATGAGTAACTCTAAAAGGTCCTATAATCTTTCTTAGAGAGAATGATTTTGAAAAAGTCTTCCTTCGTCCTTGGTCACTCGCTCAGTTGCTTCCCTCCCACTCCCTTACTCACTTCGGTGCAATGGGCGGCGGTGAGGACGTATCGGTCGTTGATGAGGGATCCGCCGCAGAACTGCTGCGAGCCGTACATGAGCGCCGCTTGCCACGGCCACTCGTTCACGCCCGTGGTCACCCCGCCCACGATCCTGGGGGCGGCCTTCTGCCCACACCTACACGTGTCGTCGAAGTTGACGCGAGGCTCGACTGGAAGTGAGACACTGCCTTGGAGATGAAGGCCATTTTTAAAGGAAAACAAAGTCGGAAAAAGATGCATAACTTCCTGAGGATTTGGATGAACAGTTTAATACTGTAAGTAAAAAGAGACGGGCATAAAGAACTCGCTGTAGCATATTGAATTTTAAACGCAGAGGAGAAGTCGAGAGCGAACAAGGAACTTTCCCCTAAGTGTGAGGATTGAAAGACGAACTGACATGTCTTTTGTTACTCACCTGAAGCAATTGTATTTAAATGGCAATTGAGAGTTTAACAAAAAGACAAAACTTTCATTTTAAACCCAGAGGATTTAAAAATGCAACCAAAAGAAAACAATGAAAAACCAGGGATAATAACAATAAAAAATCTTTCAGCGAAAACATACATGTAAAATTTACTGACAGATAAAGGTGGATAGTGAAAATGACCAAGGAACTTGCAGTGAGAGGCGAAAATCACAAAGGAACGCCAGACATCTTACTGGCAGCCAAAGAGACTTACTGACGAAGGGGAGCGAGCCGTTGAGGTGCGGAGGCGCTGCCTGGGAGACAGCCCCCATCATCGCCACCGTCAGGACGCCCAGGAGTGTTTGGGAAGCCATGGTCGCTACTGGTTTGCGTTCCG